GACAACGCTGTCCTTCCACGAATGTCTCTTTCCTTCAAAAACTATACTATACTCAAACATCCCAGGTCGGTTTACGAGAATTCAATTACCTTTCCCCCCTTTTGACCTGTCATTCTGGAGCCGCTACAACGTTTTTTGGGAGGGAACCAGCTATACATATTTTCAATAGCGTCGCCACCCCCGCAGAGCGATTCCACAGCGCCATGCAGTTGAGAGTTGACGAGCCTCCCCCCAGCTGCACCAATAATGAGGTATGTGTAATTATTGCCTAATAAATCGTTTCAGTAATCAGTTTAGGCTTGTAAGCCACAGCCTCAATGAGGGCCGATTTTTAGTCTCAGTCCTCCCCTGGTTATGATTGCACTCAAGAGAAGGTTAGCGGTGGGGGGGGGGGGGGGGGTTGGGATATAACCAGGCATTTAAGATCGTAAAGGGAATTGATAACGTAGAGCGTGGTAGGTTTTTCCAGTTCGATGTTAACAGCAGAATGAGAGGGAACCGACTTAAGTTGCTAGAACCCCAGGTGAGGCGCAGGTTGCGACAGAACTTCTTTACTTGTAAGGGTAGTGAACGCGTGGAATGCGTTGAGTGACGATGTAGTGACTGCCCCGCCCCGTGATTAGCAAGATGAGGCTTCATGCCTTCATGGACAAAACAAAAAAGGGAGCATTGTAGTTTTAAACGACTATGTTCCTTAAAAAAAAAAAAAAACTATCTTACGATTAGCCAAACGCTTGACCTCGACCCAGGGCGTCATTATGGGCGGATACGCCTCCAGACGTCCCTTGAAACCTAGAACCTTGTAGAATGAATCCCAACATGGTGATCTCAGGAAATAAATTTCGTCCGAGTCAACTCATTGATTTTGTCGATTGGTGCAATTAGTTTTTGAAAAGCTAACACCGAGCAAGAAAATCGTATGGCAAACGGATTCTATTCACAATAACTCCCACATAACGGGGCTATGACAAGAATGCTTTGACGGGAACAATGAGGTAGTCACGGCAGCATCAAATTATGATATCTCGCACCCCTAGACAGGCCGCGTGCCACTCACACCTCTTGATTCTATCTCGTGAAGGAGAAGGGGGGGGGGAGAAGAGTTGGAAGAATGGATATCATCCACGGTGTTCATTCATCCACTAGAAATCTGGCTATAGTTGTGGCGCTGTGAATTGGGCAATGGAGACGAGACACCCTTTTGAGCGTCCCTTCCTCTCTATTCGGTAATCCAGCCTGGGATCCTCGTTTATGTTACGGCAGCGTCATCCCATGCGGGCCAATTCATCGTCTCAATTCAGCCTCATTTTATTTGAATTTCTGAAAGGGATGACACCGGACCTTTCACTCTTAATCGTCGGAATGTGAATGCCCAAAATTTCGGGTTGTGTCTCATTCCTACGAATTACCCATGAATGCTTAGAATACTGGTATCTATATATGGAATCGAGAAAACCCAGTCCTTATGGCTTGACATCAAACAATGCCAATAAGATTATGAGAAATATTCCCGTCATATACAAGTTAATCTGGAACGTGTGTAGCAGAGATGCAACAAGATATGGCCATGAGAAAAGGCCATTGCATTTGACTTGTCGCTGTAGAAGTCCGATGGCTAGGGATGGAGTACATTCTTCGAAAGAGGGAGCTGTAGCAGTCGGATTGGCTATCATGACGGAAAATTAGCCTTTTTTAGGGTTGTAGATGGGGGGGGGGGGGCAAGGGATCACAAGCAAGGGACAGCCACTGCGAGCAGCTTTAGACCGCCACGTGCTGGCGTGCAGGAAAGGCAGGGAAGAGTCAAGTGTTTCTACGCGAGTGCACGCACCTTACGTAATAAAATGGACGAGCTAAGGGGGCGGGCACTGGACAACGGTTTCGACGTCATCGGAATAACCGAGACTTGGGGATGTTCTCACATTTCGGATAAGGAATTCGAGGTCGTATTTTCCCATTTTCGTTCGAGATCTCGTGACACCCTGACACCCTTCACGTGGTTGTGATCTGGACCATTTCCGATGTCATCTTGATGCTGTTTACTCTCCCGCATAACTGCAAGGGTGATGTGAATACAGACATGGCCTGACGGAGACTTACGCCTCCGGTTCTCCTCCCCCCCCCTTTTTTTCCCCCCCCCCCCCCCCCCCCCCCCCTCCTCGTTTGCACCATTTTCCATTTTTGTAAACCAGAACGGTCTTCCGAAGTTCTTAATAAAACCGGTTTTTTTTCCTCTCGACCATTTCCCCCCTCAGAATTGTCTCCAATCGAAACCGATTAAAAGTTGATCAAGTTGAAATGAAAACAAAGTTAAGTTGAAAGTTGATTAGGAAAAGATTAGTCGGAATGCGATTTAAGGCTGTGGTTCTCATATTTTTCGATGCTGCGCCCCCCTAATAAAATGCAAAGTGACATGCGGTCCACCTTAAAAAATGAAGTGATCCATGGTTCGATACAGACTTAGAAGAACAAATATTAAATAGCTTTTAAATGTTAATTCTTATTTTTATATTTACGGGTGCTTGTCACGGCCCCACGACTCAGCGCGAGACACCAGCCCTCGCATTCCCGTTGCAACTTACGCCATGCTCTCGTGCTTCTTCCTCTTGTTTTAATGCTCGCATCGTCAGTTTAAAGAAACTGATATAGACTTGTTTTTCTAGGAAAATTTTGTTGTAAACACGAAAATTAGGGCATACCGTTACGCAATGACAAGCCGAAAAGTTATGTTGGCTGCAAGAACATATATTGTCACAGAGAATTACTTATAAAAGGATTTTGTTCCGAAGGAAAGGGAAACATTGCACGGGTCTAAATTTGCTCCGAATTTCAAGTGGAAAGTACACCATGTGCAATATCTTGTCGGTTTCCCCATCGACATTCCGGGATCGACTCGCACGTGGCGCACGAACTAGGATGCGTTTGTCGTTCCCCTTCGATTCTGATTGCATCAGGTGTTTCACAGGCAGGGGTCAGCATCGCATTTACTGAGCGGCGCTTCGATTTCTGGATCCACTGAGGTCTTCTTTCGAACGAATTCGCCGAAAAGCCAAGGAAGAACGGCGAGGCATGCATGCGTTATGGGGGGAAGAGTTCGGATGGCATGAGAGGACGAAAGGAAACGGTATGGCGGGAGGGAATTGCACCCGGAGGCTTTTAATTGCTGGCCAAGTGTGCTGTCACTACACCACCGTTCTTGGAGGCGATCGTTCGTACCTCTTCATCGCTAACATTTCAAGCTAATATTTCAAGCTAACATTTCCAGCTAACGTTTCAAGCTAACCTTTCAAGCTAACATTTCAAGCTAACATTTCAACGGGAGATAGAGGCATTCTACGCACACCCCCGCTCCCTACTTATGGGAGTCAGATTTGAACTTTTCCTGAAGGACGTGTAAAACGTCCCCGCGTATTGCACTTGTTCGTCCCCTTTCGTCCCTGGAGGAAGGATGACTTCCTCGCCGGGAAGATATCTCCGCCCGTATATTTCTCGGCATTCCGATCCGTTTATCGATCAGAAGCCTATTGTATCGATCGGCACTCTCACAGGGAGAGTGACTCCCGAGTGCGAAAACAGCGGGATCCCACCTGTATGGAACAGGAGCGTTTTCACTTGGATAGAAAAGACATCGACCGCATCGTAACCGTCCCGTTTTTCTATCCATATTTTTCATTCGTAGACCTACATGAAAAGTGGTTGAAATGGACCTTACGGACGATGTGCACAGGGTCGTGATCGATATTTGGATACGAGTGCCACATGTTTAAAGTCCGTCGTTTTGTCGGCGTGAATACCCGCTCGGGGAGGGGGCTGGATAAGACGTATGATGTCTGAGTGGCTGCCGCGTAGAGTGTTGAAAGGGCAGCTGAGTTTTACGGCTGCCGATTGAACTCGGGAATTCCCGGATTCGTGGAAGACTTCCGCGGATTGGGGTGCCCGTGAGACTTCGTGGATCGTGACTTCCTGCGCCAATTATTATTGCATTTCATGTTATTCACGGATAATTGTCATCCGAAACATTGGGATGGCCCCATGCAGCGAATGCTTCTTCATGGCCTGTTTTCAGCCCTGTTTCAGATCACCATCCCGGAGGACCGCGTTCCTGGGTTCAACCTACCTCGACACCTACGGGCCAACATCAACCGTTTTCGCTGCGATACGACCCGTTGCGCTGACACAGACTACAAGTGGGGCCTCCGTGACAACCCACACTGCTGCTGTGGTGCGGTCGAGGACCCTGCTCATATACTGGCCGGTTGTGCAGTCCGTGAGGGCCTTCCTGGTGGCCTTACGAAACTGCACAGTGCGGACCCTGAAGCAATCGCCTGGCTTCGTGCCAATTGCTGACCCGTCCTTGTGTTTTCTGTGTCTCACTTTTTGTGCCCTTTGTATCTGTCTTGCCTTGATTGTGCTGTATTTTTCTCGTCCTATATGCATTCGCAATATANAATGTTGACGCTAGGTACTAGACATTAAGCAACTAGGATAGTCAAAAAACAAAACAAAAATATATATTCTCAAAAATAAGAGGGTTAGGCCTACCCTAAAATTAAGGAACGCTCGACCTCGACACGTGATATCGAAATGGGCGAAATCGCCTCTTGATGTCACTAACTCTCTTGACTCGACTTTTCTTGACTGTCCTTAAATTCTAGCAAACCAGCCAATCAATATATGACATGGTCAATATAGAATAATAAAATATACCATATTATACATTATATTTTTCTTAGGTCCCTTTTGACACTTACCTTCAGCACAGTAATGCAATTGATTTTCCATGTCGCATTTGACTTTCTTATCTCCATATTTGACTAGAAAGATATCCTTGATACATTTCTGAAACATAGTGAAACTTCAGAGTACTATGCATACATTCTTCACTGTACATGTTCATCACTTCAAAATATATACATATGTGATTCCATTCCAATGCTCCTAAATACTCTGCAAATAATCAAATGGACTTGAAGAGTATGGATATATTCACTTAATTTCATTCAGGATGTCAATTCTCTTAAAAGAAAGTAAAATTGCAGGAATCACAACACAATTAGTCTACTTACAAGGTTGTATGCACATAAAGGTCATCATCACAGAAATTTGGAGTCTCAATTTCTGAGCCCCAATAAATATCACCCGGTGAACATTTCAATGGAAGAGAAATGGCATGTTCAGCATCACCGAGAGTGATGAAGCTTCCACCGGAGGACAAAGTATGCTGCAAAGCGTAAGACAATGTTGTAGGCAACCAGGACCCAAAAGTCTTCCCAATAGACATTCTCTTCCAAGTCCATTTCTCTGAGGAACTTGTCAGGATTCTTGAAATGACAGTAAGGCTGATTGCACTGGAGATCAGGTCGGTTGTAGCCATATATACAGAACATTGTTCCCTCAAAGTAGTATTTGAGGAAGGAGACATAGGAAAGCCAGCGAATATATTTTGGCATTGCTTTCACACTCAAGAAGAACCCTGAGAATAAGAGGAAGGGTGCTGTGAACACTGGGCCCAAAAACACTGCTGCCTGTAACAAACAAGATGAAATCAAAATCATGATGAGATCATGAAAGACTAGAATGCTATTTCTATGATTTTGCAAAACTTTTCATCCAAACAGGTGCTGTTAGTTTCATACATGCCTTGTCAATGAAATATACCATTCTACAAGCTTGAGTGCAGAAACACAGGAGTCCCAAGACCATCACATGATTCCTGAAAGCAATGCTACTGTTCTCACCATCCTACAAGAAAAATTCTGTGGGTCGATTCAATAGCATTGAGCTCCATGCTAAAAAAACCCCCTCTGATCTGCTGGTAATAATTTCAAGAACTCCAATCTCATAACCAGTATTTTTCAAATATGGGTCAGCTTCATGAGAACCAATAACTTAGCCAGATTCAGACAGAAGTGGAAGTTGCAGATTGTGGTGCATTCCAAATAAGATAAGGTATGATAAAAGGTGCAAATGGCAATTTAACCCATTGAGCAGTATGGCCGTACCAGTGAGGCCGTGTGCTCCCTGTCCTGTAGGAGTGTGGCCGCACAAGTATATCCTGCATCTTCAAATTCAAATTGCCTCATTTGTACAGATGCTGTCAGTTTGAGGTGAAAACTGTTCATGTTCATAGAAGTAAAAAATTCAGAGCTGGAACCCATCTGCAAAAAAACTCACTCCTGGGGGCATGGCCAGTCAGAAAAAAAATCACCACTCAATGGGTTAATACAAATACAAGAAAAAATTAACACCTATTTCTTTCTCTTCACTAAAACCACTTCAGGCATGTACAAATTTGTGTCAAAATTTGATTTCCTGGAAAAACCTGCAAATGAGAATGTTAAATACATGAGTTCCTTCTTAAAAAAAAATTTCATTAACATTAATATACAATTTATGAGGTGGTTACATACTGAAACCACTGCAATGCAAGGTACATATATGGGCACCTCTATTACTCAACCTTCTACTAATTGACAATCGACACTTTTGTGTACCCCTCTACTGATGCTTATACTTCATTCCTTGACAAAGTTAGAATCTGCCTTAAGAGACTTGCCACAACAACCCAACAGGTGAATAGGGTGTTTTGTCTCGAGACCACTATGACATTAAATGAAACAATTTGAAATAGTGGTATCACAGCAAAACCACCTTACTGGAAAGGATTTAAGAATACAGTGAAATCTCATTACAATGTATTTGTGAGGACCCTGTATTTTCCTACTTTATACTGAAAATATTTTAATCTGAAGTGCATGCAACAAAATGCGATGACAAAATACATGTGATGAAATATAACAAACACAAATTAGTAATAAAAAATGAAATTAACAATAAGAAAATTCGCCAACTACTCTTGAAAACAATGCTGTGCAAACTGTGTCCATCAAGAGCCAGCACAAATTACTCTGTGACGTCCAAGTTAGAGTAATCCTTCACAGCAAATTGCTGTTAAGCTACCACATACCACTGGCTACATTACCATGCTGGTACTAAAGTGGGAAATATTAATAGTTTATAACAGTAACTAAAAGTAACTCCTGGAACTTCAAAATTAAGACATGAATCTGAAATGTAAGTATGAAGTATGTCATGTTTAAATATTTTCACATTACTTGTGTAGTATATCTGCTGGGGATTAAAAAAAAAACATTAATCAGAAAAAATACATAAATCTGATGCACATTGTAATGAGATTTCATTGTAATTTTAACTTGAATATTTTAAAATAAACTCATATTTAATGAATTTATGTTTATTTATTTATTATGTGTTTTCATTTGTTTTCAAATGAATTTCATTTATTAATCTAAAGAAACGTTATTTGGCATAAATTCTTTTATAACAAAAATTTTTACTTTTTTTTTTCAGCAAAAAGTCTCACCACATTCCCAAAGAGATCCATATATGAAATATGCTCTGAGTTTCATAAGGGAAGTAAGGCAACAGAGGCCACCAAAAACATTTGTGGTGTCTATGGAGATGTTTTGAATGTTTGTAAATGCCAGCATTGGTTCAGTAAACTCCAGTCAGGCGATGTTGATCTCTTGGATGGCCATCGTTTGGGAAGATCGGTAGAGCTGGACAAAGATCCCCTGAGGTTGGAGGTTGAGTCCGACCATCCAATTCGCAGAAAAACTTCGTTCTTGGATTTGTTTTCAGCCAAAAGTTGGTGTGGAACCCAAACGCCTTGGGTAATAACCTTCCCGATCTGTTGAAGCTGTTCTTGAACACTAGACCACAAAGAATTATGTTTTCTGCCAATTTTTGGATGGTTTGACAGGAGTCTGACTCAACCTTTGACCTCAGGAGATCATTGTCCAGCTCTATCAGTCTTCCAGAATGATGGCCATCTGAGAGATCAACATCGCCTGACTGGAATTTACTGAACCAATGCTGTGATTTGCAGACATCCAATACATCTCCATAAACACCACAGATATTTTTGGTGGCCTCTGTTGCCTTACTTCCCTTATGAAACTCAGAGCATACAATGTTGTATATGGATCTCTTCGGGAGTGTGGTCAGACATTTTTACTGAAAAAAATTTTTACATTTTGCTTTTAAAAAATTTATGACAAATAACAGTCCTTTAGATTAATAGATGAAATTAATTTGAAAACAAATGAAAACCCATCATAAATAATGATTACATTTGGTTTACAAAAAAATGACACTTGTCACTTTTTTATTTGTAATGTTTAATTTTTCACTACTCTCATTTATTTCTTAATTTTTATTTTTTGGAATCAGCTGAAAAGGCTGGGTTGAGATCGTCTGGATTAGAAGCCTACTAGAATGTTGAGGAAAGGCTGGCAGATGTGTAAGGCCTTAATACAGTAACATGTCTAGGATGCCATAATGGAAGGGCATGAGGGGCATAAAGCAGCCAGAAACAAATTCCCAGAGAGATCTGGAGGTGGAGGAGTCTGGTATGAATGTTAGTCAAGATGGGGGGAGGAGGCTTGAACCCCTCAAGTCCCCCTTCCCTCCCTCCTTAAATGTGTCCTTATCCTTAAAAGAGATTCTGAAAGTGCTGCAAATTTCCTGGTGAGAGGCGAAATAAAAAGCATAACAAGGTGAAAGGCAAAAGCTGACCTGGATGTCAAAGAGGGTTCCAATCATGAGCCCAAGAGTCTGACCAACAAGGGCAATATATGTGCTGATGGCGAGGTATCTAAAAAACCTATGGGCATCCAATGGCTGTGATGTCATGTAGTAACAGATCAGTAGGTATATGAAAGTACAAAGGACCTGTAACAAACATCAAAATGTCATTTACACTGGGAATATGAAGAACTTTTGATGGCAATAATATGGTGTCTCACAGCAAAGGGGACATCAGCTAATGTCTTGGCCACATAATATGCCTTGAGGGAGTACCATTTATTGAGGATCTCTCTCAGCAGCACTGGGACTTCCAATGGATCTACAATCATGAAACATGACACCCACAGGGTCATCTATAGTATATAATTACTCCAATGTTATGAGATCTGCACAGAAAAAGTCCTTTGTATTTGCATCCACAGACCCATTATCCATATGAGAACAATCTATCCACACAAGCACTTTTTATCTTTTGGCATCTAGAGACAAGAAAAAGTTAAAAGTTTGGAATGTGTAAGAAATGTATCAAACATAATTTAATATTACTTCAAGAAGGTATTTTAAGTCAACAATAAACCAATTTTTCTGGATTGCATTATTACAGGATGTTTTATTAAAATATTTTAACTCCTTGACTGGTATCCCTGAGAAAATTTTGGACTGACCTTTGTCCAATGTAAACCTATACCTCAAAACTCACTCACAAGTGAAAGGGATAAATTTCACATTTTCATCCAAAACCTGAAACATTTCAATACATTTACAATATTTAAAACAGATTTTGGATACTTCCATCTGATCTGCATCTGTAAGCATCCATATCCACCTCCTACCTATAAAGTGCTAGCTATAATCAAATATCATTCTCATTCATACTTTTTGTGCATATAATCTGCTACAGACCTCCATCAATGCAACAATTACAGGGCCATGAATGATCTCTCAAACACTGCTGGGTTCATTACTCTCACTATCCAGTACATAGATGCCACAACCATGCTTGAGTACTCTTCAATAGCCACACCATTGACTTCCAGGTTTACCATCAACCCATGTCCCATGTATTTTTTCAGTGTTGCTTGAAAATACTGGCAATATTCAATACTCTAAAAAAAAACCCCCAATTTGTTTCTATACTGCATCATGTGCCAGCAACAATGGATGTGAACAAGTGCTATAGAGCTCTTGGAAATATGAAAGTATAAGCTGAATTGATATTCTCTGCATTTTTTTCCTCATCACATGAAGACTTAGACATCTTAAACATCTAACCATAACCTTTACTGGCAAAACTCACATGTGAGTACGGTAGGCATCATGGAGGCATAAAAAACCAAGATAATGGTGAAGAAAAGTGCACTGGCATTGCGATACACACTCATGGCATCATCCCCCATATCAAAGTACATGATCCCCAGGAAGAGACCAGCCACAACATGACTCCCTCCTCGAATGTACATGAGCATCTGCAGACATAAATAAAAGGGTTTCTGTATATCCCATGGAAGCATAGTGCATACTCTTGGGTGAGGGGCTTCTTTGTAAAATCAGACAATTTAGTTGTCAAATCCAGAAATTCAGTCAGTGAAGAAACTACTACATGCAGGTGACTAAGGTGCTCAATAACTTGTCTGGCTAAGTTACTCATCCTCTTCTGGTTTGTTACTGGTAGAACTCTTGCTGTGCAACAGAAGAAGCCTAATTATTTCTGTGATCAACAAAACTGACAGCAAGTTGATAAAGCAAAACACTAAAAAGGTGAAAGAGGAAATAAATAAGGAAATTAAGGCAAGTAGCAGTTTTGTACCATGACAGAGCATAGTACATTAGAATTCTGATATCTATGTTGGACACACAAAGCAAATTTATTGGGAGGTGTCAATATCACACAACATCACAAAATGCACAAATTTTCAGTCAGCTTTCATTATTTACCCCAGACAAACAGGCTGGCTGGTTTTAAATGGGTTGAAAGACTCACCAAATCCCTAGTAGTAGTCTTCAAAAACCTCAGGTACAAACATTGTACTTGCTTTGCAAAAGACACAGCATACTCTGCTTTTAAATCATCAATGAACTCCGGCTTAGTCTCCTTAGTCAGTTTCTTCCTCATGGAGTTCTCAATTCTGCCCCAAAGCCCTGTTAAAATGTCACAAAAACATATTTGAGAATCATGGCAAACCAGAGGTGACCATGATCCTGCAATGAAGTACATCGATGGCTCATTATTCAAATTTACATTTAGTGAAAATCAAGCCTCACTGAAACACAAGGCAAAAAATTGCAGGAATTTTCTGTGCACTGAATGACATTAAAAGTTTTCTCCAATATGGTCAATTTTGAAAAGTTTCAATTTCAATGCACTTGACACTTTTCAAAACAATGGCTGTCAAAAACAGTTGTTGACAAAACTATTTTAAGAGGAATCACATGAACTTTTTAAGCAGTGTTCACTTTGCATCGATCAATAAGCAGCCACATTAACCCTTTTGGGATCATCTCAAGTATGTACTCGTCATACAACTGCCTGCACTATCCTGAATACATACTTGTCCTAATGTCCGCTTATCTTCTTTTTTTTTCCTCTTTGAAGTATGCATTGTAGGTTAAATCTGTATGTGGAAAACTTTTTGTTTTTGAACTGCCCATGGTTCATGACATAGTTAAATGTAATTTTCTCCCTATTATTATCATAGGGTTTTCTTTCATCATGCTTGGAAGTGGCAAGCATGGCATCCCGAGAGTGAGAAAGTTGAAGGCATGTTTGAGATTGGTTCATTTTCTAATGTGTTACATAGTGAGTGTGCTATTAGGAATGCTGCTGGAGAACAGTTTGCTGTTGTTAGTGATCAGTGAGAGCAATGAATCATGTTGATTAGAATCCCCCAGGAATTGCTCAACACAATTAACACACTAAACCAATGGTTCCTAAACATGGTAAGCGTACCACTGGGGGTACTCAAAAGGTTTCCAAACAAACATATTTTTTAGAACTTGCATAATATAGTGCTAGTCTTATGTACTCAGTGGGATATGCATGAGGGACAAGTGGTGGCACACTACATATGCACCCTTGAGGCAAGAGGTATGCAGAGGTCAAATGTTCGGGAGTCATTGTACTAGATGACATCTCCAGAATTCTGAGTTAATTATTGATAACAGTGCACCAAATCTGTAAATATCCAAAAATGGCACTCGTTACCACTCTATATATCACCTAGCTAAACAGGCAGTCATCCATGAAAGTTTTGTCTGTTAATATTCACTTTTTTAGGTTCTAAAGTGATTTTAGTGCTTTTAGAACTTGGAGCTAATTTTTTCAAAACACCTGATGCCGAAAGGATTAATAAGGTATTGTGATACTAACAGAATAATAAAAATTCAATCCCTCAGTGACAACTCCAAAAAAACTTTCAAACATTTTCCTGAATTTCAACTGAGCAAAAATCTACAATAATCCATCCAGAGTGGAGTTTCAGTGTTTATCACCAAAGAGATGAAAAACAAGATTTAATTCTTCCTAATCCCACAAAGTAAAGTTGAGTGAATCTATACCAGATAGAGGAGTGGAAGACTGGCCATTGGCATCCAAGGGAGTTTCAGGATCAGGAATTTCCAGCTCAGGGGGCTTTGTGGCATTCAGTTTGACAGCATCACATAAAGCTTTCATAGCTTCCCTCCCATGGTCACCAACTGCGACTTCCATCACTGCATCCCATCAGTGAAGAAAACATATGAGTTCATGGCATTTATCTGAGGTGTTACACAGAGACACCAATAAGTTGTATGGCAGTATTCCATGTCAGCTCAAGAAATATTTAAACCAGGGGGTATACATCTGGATGGAACTTAGCTAAATGTATTCACTACAAGAAAAGCACATGATACAGGGTGGGCCATAAATATTCACACCAAATCAAAGTCTTGTATTTCCTATACTAATAATTTCTCATAGATCAACTTAAACTCAAATGAGACACCAAGACTCACAGTAACTATTAGCAACATATCTTCAACATGTCCCCCTTCTTCCTGACAGCAACCAGTAATCTTCGAATCTGCCATTCAATTAAACTGGACAGACATGGTTCCACTCCTCTTTCAGCATGAACTTTAATCGATTCAGGTCACATGATTTCATATTTGGACACCTACTTCCAGCAGACTCCACACACAATAATCAACTGGATTCCAACCAGAATTGTAAGGGGGTCATTCATGTTTGCTGATAATTTCTGCAATATGGTTTGCTAGACAAGTTTTTGAGAATCAGGACATGTGACTTAGAGAATGAGTCCTGTTGAAGATCCAAGATTGGCCACCAAAGAGAAGCTGACATATAGGTAACACCTATTTTTCTTTGCTTTTTCTGGGCATGCAGAAATATAAAAGTTACATGATGTATGAATATTTATGGCTCACCCTGTAGATTGCATTAAAGCTTTGATTGTATTTCCTGTTCTTCTAATATTTTATGCTGACAAGTGAGAAATCCATTTTCAAAACTTTCACTTTGGCCAGACCCTCATTTGCCATCTATTACTTCCAGAATTTTACCTCAGATTTTAGAAATCAGAGAGGCTCAGAAAGGCATCTAGTTAAAGTAAAGATGCTGCTGTGCCCATATCAGTTTATTGAGTATATTTTCAGATTGCAAGATGAAAAGGTTCATATCACACCAGTTATAGCACTCAACATGATTATAAACTGTGAACAAAAAGTGACTGAGGACCAGAAAGCCACCAGGACAATGAAGACAACTATTCAGAAAGCAGGAGTGCCTTCAAGTTTTATTTTTAAATCATTCTGTATGGTTCAATGTAATATTCTTATCAAGTTTATGTCCACCTTCCATTCTTACTCCTAATACTTCAGATACTGACAGGCCAAAACACAGATGGTATTTGAAAAGCAGACTCATACCTAAGATTCTAATATGAACCATATGAAAATGGCAAATCATTAAGACATCTCAATCCCTCCCAGCATAGAGTGATGGTGCACACATAAAAAAAAATATCCAAAGTAATGATGCCAATAGCATAGGAGGGATTCAAAAGGTAGGTATCTACCCCACCAACTGCCAATTTACACTTGTAAATGTACAAAGTACAAAGTTGTTGTGGTAAAAGCAATGGAACACATATTTACAAGAAAAACCTGTAATATTCAAAATGACCATGACTTCTTAAATTATTTACTTAGAACAATTAAAAATATTTAACCCATTCACTGTTTACATGACATGTAAACATGTCTGTTGCTGTTTGTTAGCTTCATGTGCTAACACGTCATGATTTTATAAATTTCTTATGGAATAGCATTTACACTGTAATTTTCAGCATGTTGAGTTTTTCATGCTATAGACTGTTTCTTGAATTTCCTGTAGCATACAGCATTTAATGCACTAAATTCCAGGTAGCAATTACTGAGTTAATTAAAGAATAATTACAATTAATGGATTAATTTAACAATTATCTGAAGGATCAATTTATTTAACTAGATGAATTTAAAATATATGCTTATGCTTATCACTCATCCTCCATACACCCCATTTAGACTTAGTGATTTCTGCCATCTAAATGCTCGAAATGGAAATAGAAGTGCAATGCGGAGTCATACCAAAGTCAGCTGGATTGTGATATGAGGGACAATGAAGATTGAATAGCTTGAGGTAGGGTACCAATGAGGCGATAGTGTCATTGTAAAGACACATGCCTTCACTGAGGAGAATCAGATGATCAAATATTTCCAGGATCCTTGCACTGGGTTGATGTATGGTGCAGATCACTGTTCTTCCCTCACTTGCCAGCATCTTCAATAGGGACACACACTGCAGGCAAGATGAGCTGTCCAGTCCACTGCAACATTGAACGCAAAAAATCATCGTGAATGCCATAAACTACAGGATGATCAATGTTGTCTAAGTCCCCAGAATCTCAAGCAGTTGAGGATTTTTCATTCTCAACCCTCTCCTTGCCAATGATGGGCCACACCAGCATTGACACCCATATAAGAGAGCCACAGTGTTCAGCAGTTTAACCATCATAAAAGGGTAAAAGCCAATGATGAAGTGGACCTAACTCCATTTCTTTTGAATGCATGACTCCAGAAAACCAGCTACATAAACTTACATGAACCTACCTACATGAAACAACATATTGAGAGGGTTAAGAAGTTGATGTTTCCTAATCTAGTCCCATTATTGTTTTTTTATTATTACACTCCTTCAAATCCATGGCATAGGTTTGGTTTTCATTCAAAAGATGGAGACAGTGTAATAGCAAGCAAAAACAATAACCCTGTATTGGTACTCTCAAATGGAATTTCTCTTCTTTCACTGCATTTAATGAGCTTCACAGAGTTTAATTTTGTTTTCTGATTTTGGATTTATTCTCACAACTTCGATGTAAATCGACAGAAAATACAGCCATTGTATTCTTGGTTGTATTCTTATTGAAATCAGTTGATCCAATTATTAATTCCATTGATAATACACATCTGAAAGTCAACTGGGCACATTTACTCATTCCCCTGAAATAAGAATCACACCATGGTTGCTTTTGCTTTCTCAGTTTTTAACTTTTTTTTCCCGTTTAGGTTTTTTCCTATATCAAAATCAATAAGGCATAGAAAATTTCCAATCCTACAAGGGGTACTCAGTAGGGATTTGAAATAATCTTTTGTTTTCAAAGATATATAAGCAACTAAGTTTATATCTTTTATAGCTCATATCACGACAATACCCTTCCCAATTACACATGCCACTGTGTATTTATCAGTCACTCATAACACCATTCATGATACTCTGTCTGATGCATATAATTTGGCTCTGAACTGACACTTTGAGTCAAGTTCTAATGTACAAAAAGTTCTATTTCAGTAAACAATGCTTTGTTGCCATTGGTTTTTTGTGTATTTCTTTTATGGTCACTGAAATTTTGCTATATCAGTATTGCTTTTTCCAGTTCCTTTTAAAGAATTATTTTTTAAATTTATTTCCCCCAAGCTTTTATTTAAAAATAAAAGCTTGAGGAGAATAAATGTTTAACATGCAGCAGTTGTCCTTTGGTGTCAAATTCACATCTATGGAGTATGCCTCCATCTGAGAACCATGGAAACTTTATAGTCACTGATCAAGATCCAATTATATGTAGATGCTAAGAAGGTATGTTAAAGGATGCTTTTCATTTTTACTCTGTACACATACAATATCGAGGTCCAGTTAGCCGTATCAGAAAAATCTTCATGCTTTCCTTTTTACAAAATCATACCAAATAACTGTCCCATCCCGAAGGTCAAATGAAAGTCTTTTTTTGGTGCACCCAGTACAAGGCATACTACACTTTAAAAGGTAGATTCCAACTACTTGAAAATTGGATTCCCACCAACAAAAACCACAGCACGATGGTCTGTGTCACTGCAATAACCATAACAGCCATTAGAAATCCAATGGTCCTCTTACCAACAGTGATGATTTTGCAATTATAACAGTTTCAAAATAAACTCAAGGATCCAACTTGCCTCAGGCATTGCTCTAATTCATTGACACAACAGCTACAACATTCTAAAATGTGTTGAGAGTTCCAATCCAGGGTTTTCGCATGAGAACTGAAGAAGCATCATTTTCATTCCTCAGCTGCAACAAGTTCCTTAATCATATCAACTCCAAAGACTTCATTTTCTCTCTTCCAGGAGGATGGTGACAATTTTTTGTTACTGTAAGTTGCCTCCTTGTATACATGTACAGTGTAGTAATAGTGCCACCTTGTATGTTTTGTTTTTGGATAGTTTTTGGTGCATCCAAGTCTATGAAATTGTTTAAAAGTTTTATTTCAATCTTTTTTTAATGCAATTTTCATTCATAGCCTTTAGAGGAACACTTCCTGGTGCATGCAAGGCAAATATTGAAGTATGTCAGTTCACTTTGATAATACATCACTAAACATCCACAGAAAACTATCAACATCATGCAATATTGCTATTAAGGTCTCTTGAGGCAAGACTGCATGACACTGAATGGAATGAGATTAGGATTTAAATGCAGAGGATTTTTTATGCCTACCTGGTGGGTTCATCAAAGAAGAGGACAGGGGGGTTGTTGACAAGCTCAAGGGCAATACAAAGTCGTTTCTTCTGGCCACCTGAAAGACACCCAGCTCTTGTTTCTGCACAATTCTGGATACCCAAATGTTCTAGGATCTCAACTACCTGCAAACAACCACATCCTCTGCATCAATTTAGTGAACCCTAACAACCAAACCCAAACAGGGGTGGCTGCTAAAAAAAAAAAAAGGGGGGGTATTGGTGGACTCATCTGTCATTTCTTGTAATCAATTTGGCTTATATGTCTCATGCTAAGGCTTAGAGACCCTCTCCTACTTATCATCCACTATCTTTTTCTCTTATCTGCTGAATCAAATAATATTTACCATATTAAATAGTACTAAACCATACAGCATAGAGATATCCCAGACTTGTCCCTAACTGGAAATCTTGTTCCAAGGACGTTGTGAGACATCCTGTAGACATCTTTCATCAAATGGTTTGGATATCAATAGAGACAGTAGCGTGCCCAGGAAATCCGTATGGGGGGGGGTTGCCATATGAAACACTGATTACCCACCCTAATGGGGGAGAGTTAACATATGGAAAAAAAAACTGATTAAACTCAAAAAATTAAAAATTAAAAAATTTGTGATAATCAAACCTGTAAAATTGGCCCCAAGGGGGAGGTTATGACCCCCCCCCCCCCCCTTGGGCACGCCACTGCATAAAGAGATGTACTTTAAACAACATTGAGTAGGGAAATATCCCAATTGGATCCCTTTCAATGTGACAGTCACCCATGGGATATCTTCTCACCCAAACTTTTCTGACCAAGTTATCTATGAGATTTATTCCTTGTCCTATGGGGATATCTCTGGGGCAACTTTGGGATGCACATGCGCTGTGTAAGGAAGCCATCGAAAATACTTCCATTAAAATATCGAGTAGTATGCTCCAGACACAGTCTAGTTTTACGCATGGATGCTAAATCTTTTAACCGCAAGCTATCCCAGGGTTCCTTGCTGAGAAATAAAAAAAAGCAACAAAACAGAAACGTACAGTAGTGAGCTTGTCTTTAGAAGGCATGGAGCTGGGGAGTTTGAGGTTGGCAGCCACGCGCATAGATTCCATGACGGTGAGGTTGGGAATCACATGATCCTGTTGCGGGATGTACGTGCTCAGGTGGCGAAACACCCGCAAATCCCTCTCCCGCCCGTTCATCTCCACCTTCCCCGTCACTCCGTTTTGTCTGCGGTTGAATATCAATGCGATACGTCAAGGCTGGGTGGGCAATGAAATGAACGACAATGGCACCTCTCGTCTTGAATTAACATGCTACGACTCGTGTGGGAAACTATCAATAAATACGTAAATACTATGATCGCACCAACGGCCGCCATGACTACTGGGACTGGGTATAAACGGGATGAGGAGACAGCTGGACGACAGTGTGTTCTGTAACGAAGTGAGTGACCTGTAACCGGCGAGGATGTTCATGAGGCTGCTCTTTCCAGCTCCGCTTGGTCCCATGATGGCTGTCAATTCCCCGGGCTTCATCCTCCCATCCAAACCCTTCAGGATCTCCTTCATCCCTGCATCATAGGATCTCCTTTTACCTTCCACAAAAGCAGGCATAACGAATACGGCGAGGATGATGATTCTCGGATCGTACCTCTACGTCCATCAGGAACCCAGTAATGGACATCGAAATAGGTGATTTCGAGAGGGTTCCTGGGAGCGAGATGTGAGAAGCCCCTCATCGGCTTCTTCCTCTTCACCCATACAGGATTTCTAACGACACCAAGATCATCAAATCCAGAAGCTCCAAATGGAGACCGAAATCGACTTCATGAGACTCATTTCGTCCACAAGCAATAACATGATTCATTACTCCCAAAACTTGCATAATAGTCTAACAGGGGGTTACGTAACAAAATTGAGACTTGTAGATTTTCTCGGCTGTTAAGCTGAATGCAAATCAGGCAAAAGATAAATATCCTATCCTGCACCATATAATCAGGATGCGAGAGGGTGCTCCAAAATAAAAGTTAGATGACTCTGAAAGTGTGTTCTCCCCCCTTGAAACGGAGGAATTTTTAAACGTGTTAAGGAAAATACGAACTCCTTTTCTAATTCCAGGTCATTCATAGGTTGAGGGTGCGAGGGTGTTGAAGCACACATGGATAGTTGTGATATATAAGTATTTGGATCATGGTAAGAGATTTTCAGGGCAGCATTTCGTTTAATTAATAGAAATTTCTGAAGAGAGGGAATGCTTCAAAAATGACTTGCTTGCAGCATATACGCAATTAAGGGTATTTTTCATAAAGCATGGCTCTGCACAAGCCGTTGGGTAGAATTTAATCGAATTCACGCTTTGTTTCACGCCCGACTGCGCAGAAGACGTTGCACGGTCATTAGCACACATGTCACAACGTCATTAGCATATTGGTCTATTCACAATGGGGTCACAGTTAAGTCAATCCCTTAGGGGGTGTATTGCTGCATCTTCTATGTTGTCATACATCATGTACGTGAATTTGATTTTAAAAAATCGGTTCAAGGGCTTGTGCAGAACCATGCTATTGGATGACATCCCTCCATTGTTTTAAGTGTCTATCCTTTGTCTTTATCCATCTTCAACTTACAAGAATAAGGTGGGTGTACCTTTCTGTATGTTTCTATTCTTCGTCTTAAAAAATGCCAGAGATTCCTAATCTCAAACGGGCTTATTGAAAATGGTTTGCGTGAAGAAAGTCACGAGTCTTTTTACTTGGTTACATAAAACTCCTTTCTCTCAGACCTTGTTAAGCCTGAACCTGTTTCAGGTTTCTCCACTACCCAGGCTGGACCCATTCCCGTTTCGTTCGTATTTACGAGATATTTTGTGTTTCAAATAACCCCAGAGCAAAAGAACAAAATTATGAAACTCAGGTGAAGAGAAACAAAGGATGAAAATTCTGAGTTTAGGGATCTCCAAGGGTATAAATTGCATGCAGGCTTATCCTGCTGAAGCAAAAACAGAATTTATAAAGTTTTCGGTGACAGTCTAAATTTTACTTTTTCATTATTACTTATTCAGAAATACTCACGGCACGTCATATTAGGGTGGAACGAACCCCTCATTGATACTTCGAATGAAGTTTACACGGAACAATCTCTAACTAAAAATTCCCCAGCTTCGGAAAAAATGTAGGATGAAAATAACGAGCATGTTTCATAATTACCTCGTTTCATCGAACGTGGAGTGCCTCACAATCCCAGACGGCGGAAAATGAGGTAACTTGACTGCGAAACGTCATTACAGTGCCATTCCCCTAGGCCACCTCACACTGATTGACGTTCATCTCACTGTCACTCCCATTCCACTCCACCGTGGAGCGATACGACGAACGAAACGAAGACACGCTTTCAGCGTAAATTTTGACGAGCGTACCGTACTGTATATACTGTAAATGGTGTAATGTGGTGCAGGATGGGGTGACAGCAATGACCAACGGTGTCGCAATGACTGTCACGAGATCCGCATCTGTATATCGTATTTTCCTATCATTCATTCTCAATGTCGCTTATCGCAGCTTCAAGGGGACTTAGGCTGGAGCAGGTGGAGAAGCATCCTCCAATGTTCCCGGTCCTGGGCGACGGAAGTTCAACAAATGGAATGGCGAGCATCGAATGAAAAAGCTCTCCGGTCACTTACATTGAACCTTTCGCATCAAAGCAGGAACGATGAACACTGTTAAAAAAGTAATCGACTCTATTGTTGATGATGAATCGTAAGATCGAAGGTAAATCAGATGACCGAACCACTTTTCAAGGAGGTACAGTTAAAGGTAGTCAATGAAACGGGTTTGGATGGATGAAAAAGTACTATCATGCAACACTAGACCGTGACTGGGTACGAAATCGATCGATCCCGGTGGACTACTTCGCATCTCTCGTACAGCGCGAGGGGTCCAGGGGAAGGATAACGGATCTCCGAGCGAGTGAAAGGAGGGGGGAAATCCCTCAGCTGAGCAAGCCACGTGCACCTGTTCTCAGTCGCTACGCACCCTGCCACCAGGTACAACTGGACTCTCTCTATCCGAAATGCATATGCTTGCAATGAAGACGTTCATTTCTTCACATTTTAATCGCATTTTCTACACACGTTTTGTTCGTGCACACACTCCTCTACCTTCCTTTCCCCGTCAACGAAGGCCATTCCACTAAGAACGTTACGCAATTAACGTAAACACTCTCCTTGACGACAAGGGAGGTGAGGGAGAACCCAAGTTCCTTTCATTCCGCTGCGACCTGGTTCTATCTTTACGTAGCCACTTCACACACCTAGCGCGCATTATCCTGTTCTTCGGCAATAATTCGGATGGGAAAACTCACGTGGGTTCTGAAGGGGAGATCCCCAATGGGCCTTCACCATTAGTACACTCCATGGCGAAAGCGTGCGTGGAAATATAGGACGGGAAGTGAACCCGCGCGCACCAGAGAGAGAGTAAAGCTGCACTGAGAATGTCCTCACTTGCACTCTACGCTCTATCGATGGGAGTCTGGCAAGCATCCCTGTTCCTGCGCTCGCTCTTTTATCTTCTAAGCAGCAGGGTTGTCGGATCATCCATCCAGTTTTCCTTCATTTACTCCTCGCTTTCGGCCCCATGGCATCGAAGTCCCTCCTCGTCCGCAGTGTCAGCCGTTTGAATCCGTCGATTGGATGAATGTCATTGATGACACGATGAACGAAGGCTTATGCTTCGTTTCCTGCGAGTACGCGACTCTTGTTTCAGGTTTCCAACGTGACGCCGGAACTCCGAGAAAATTCTGATTTTCTCGTACGCTCCACGTACGAATGAAACTCGCGTCGGCATGTCAACAGCTGCTGTATACCCAGAAAGTCTGTCTGGCCTTCATATGCATTGTGTGTCACTCATCACGAGTCGAGCACAGATGATTTTCTCTTTATTCTTCCAATGCGTGCCTTCCCCTCCTCCCTCGAATTCTCACGTATTTACTTGCTCGAGATCGCCTGCATTCCTCGCATTGCACGACCGAATGGGAAAAGCTAAAATTCAAGGCTGACCGCTGAAACGACAACACTCGTTCGCCCGTCAAAAGAAGGCAACACTGTGAATGTCATCCGATTCTAACAGGAGTTTGCTTCCCAAAACTGAGCAGGAGATTCCACTTCCCATTTCGTCTCGTTTCACACTTTCGTATAGAAAATCGAAGATTCCGTGAAGATCTCTTCAACGATAATTGACCGATCGATCTCCTCACGTCAAGATTGGCCTACCAATTCGCCCAAACCTTGAATTGATCCCATGACTTAAGGCGAAGTTGTATTGCGCGTCTTCTCGACCCCTCCGCAGTAGCAACTCACGAACGCGAACGCATGAAGTTTTGGTCATTCCGGATGTTTATGAGGATTCTTCGGGGTCCACAATCTTTTTTCCTTCGCGAATGGATACGATACTTCCTATGATTGATGGTGTGCTTTAGGGATTCTCAATTCTATTAGGCAAAAATCGTCAACGTATCACGGGTAATTCATTCATGGAAGTCCTGACTGCGTGAAGTTCATCTTTAGTTGCGCTCCATGCATTCATTAATTCACATTCGTCTAGTGACAGGGAGCCAATATTAAGATCGGGAGGGGATGAAGGAGTAGGGTAACTGGGGGGAAGAGGCGTCAACCAGGCTCTTTCCTATTGGCTATTATGGGAGATGCGAGGATTCGGCCTTTCTTTGGTGGCTCCGATGGTCGGAAATTTGCCTGGAAATTTGCCTGGAAAGTTGTCGGAAATTTGCCTGGAACAAAATCCAAGCAAAATTCTGGGCTATACAGATTCCGAAGTCCGCCTTTATTGTGCTTGGCCAAGGCCAGGCTAAGTATGCCCTCAGCGCCCAGTCAAGGTCAAGGACAGAGCCTTCCAGCATTCTCGTTTCTATTTTTTCCAAGTCAGATACAGGCTAAAATTCAAATCGGCAAAAGCTTACAACCCCCAAAACATTCGCCTCTGGGGTAAAAAGCTTTCCTCTTTCAAGTCTCACCAGCGATATGTCCATCGAGTTCAAAAACCAGGTAGTGTGATGGTGTGGGGTGGTGTTTGTGCTTCTGGCAAAACTCCCCTGCATTTTGTGCAGCCTCAGGCCAAGATCAATGCCAGCTACTATCAAGAGTGTGTTGAAGAAGGTGCTACTCCCCTGGACTCAGGAACATTTCAAATCCCAGCTTTGGACATTCCAGCAGGACTCAGCACCAGCTCACAAGGCAAAATCCACCATCGACTTCTGCAGAACTCACTTTCCAGACTTGATTTCCCCAGAAAAATGGCCTGCTAGTAGACCTGATTTGAATCCATTGGATTACAGTGTGTGATCCTACTTGCAGACCAAGGTCTGCTGCAAGCCACATAAGAGTATCAATAGCTTGAAGCTTGATCTGCTGAAGGAATGGAATGAATTGTCGATTGATCAGTTGTGAAGAACTGTAAAGGATTTCCCAAAATGTCTGAAGCATGTTATTGCCTCAAATGGTGATATTTTCGAAACATAAAACCATGGTTGGTTTAGTTTTTTTTGTGATCTTTGCACTGGTCAAATAATAAATTAAATCGGTCTTCATCAGAGAATGTTACACTTGATTAAAGGTGTCCAAGGACTTTTGAGTCACCCTGTAGTAGCATATCTGACTGACAATCATGAGGTCGGGGTTCAATTCCCGGCCATCTCTCATTCCCGGCTTTACTTTGGCTTTTCTGCGTTCCATGTCCCGTTAATTATTCCCCCTCTGTAATATTACTTTTGCTTGAGTAAAAGCGAGAGACATAGAAAGCTGAAATCTAGCATGGAGGTGCCTAAGGACACAATGAGTTCAGGAAAAATGCATATTTTAGATCTATGACCACAGGGCATATTTTTGTAAGCCGACGTTTTCAAGTATTTTTTTTTGTCCTGGCGTATTGAGCTAGCGTGGAAATGTGAAATCTGGTCCATAACTACCTATTGGGATGCTGCAGAAAACTTCAGACTTTTGAAGTAAATGCCCTGCGGCATTTATTTCAAAATTTCAAAATTTCAAAACGAGATGTTTTAAACTAATTTTTTTGCATCAGTTAAGCTGATGAACATGACTGAAACTTTGCATGAATGTGACTATTGAGACAAGGAGTTAAATAAAAAAAAGGTTAAGTCTCCATACATCCCGTGGGGGAATTTTTTCGAGGTGCAATATTTTGAAGAATAAAAATTGTTGTGGCGAATTGGACAGAAATGGAATGGTGAAACTTGGCACACGTATGTGACTTGATATTACTGAGTTGAACGAGTATTCAGCTTTTATGGCGCATCCACTCTGAGCATAGCTTTTGGGTGGGTCGGCTATTCTAAGCATGTTTTTTTCACCAGAGAAAAAGGCAATTGTATAATTTTGAACGTTGTGGGCATGTAGTTCACTAAGGATGGATTTCGACAAGAAAAAATGGTATGTTTCGGTTGAAATGGCTCAGGCCACATGTTTTGTAAAAGTCGTATTATCATGAATTTTCTGATCCAGCAAAACAGAAGGCGCATGAAAGTTTAAGCACTTGGCAAATAAATACTTGATAGCTGCGTAAAGAAAAAATTCTACTTTTATTAGGAAGCCCGGGTTCAATTCCCGACCGTTCCTTGGATTTCTTTCGGCCTATTCTGCCTTCAAAGTCGCGTTACTCATTCCCCCTCCGTAAAAATATTTTTGCTTTAGTAAAACGGAGAGACATGGAAAGCTGAAACTTGGCATGAATGTGAATACTGAGACAAAGAGTTATAGGAAAATGTTATGTCTCGATACATCCCCTACAGGAATTTTATTCGAGAGGGGACGTTTTAAAAAAAAATGTCATGGCGAATTGTATAGAAATGGAAAGCCGAAACTTGGCACACGTATAAGTGACATGATATTATTAATATTATTATTGAGTTGAGGAAGTATTCAGCTGTCTCGGTGCATCCCCTCCTGGCATAGCCTTTGGGTGCGTCAGCTTTTCCGAACACGTGAGTTCACAGTGAAAAAGGAAAATATAAGCGGTTGAAACTTTGTGACCATGTAGTTCTCTGAGGATTGATTTCGCAAAAAGAAAGTACTATTCAGTTAAAAGGCCTGAGGGCACATATATTGCAAAATGTGTATTTTCTCTATCCAGCAAAACAGAGGGCGCTAGAAAGTTTAAACTTGCCAAAGAAGAACCTGATGGATAGCTGAGTAAAGAAAAAATTCTAATTTTCATATATATTGAGGACCGTGAGTAGCTGACTGATATAATACGCTATTCGCTTGTATCTTATAATTATTATTGGTTGTGGAGTAGGAAAAACGAAAATTCGTGACCATTTGGCCCCATAATAAATTAGCCTTCTTTTAAACCATTATCACTCTGATAGCTAAAGGAGTTGTGGTATTTCTGTGACCGAACTTGATAACATTCAAAACGCTGGTTTCATTATTAATATATTTATTTTCAGGAACTTTCAGGCACCCCTCGTAGCAACTCAGGATATCCACCCTTAGATTACCCAAGTAACAATCCATGATACATTGTTTCTCCCCCTGTGCACCAGTCTGGCACAATTATTTAAATTCTCCACCAAGGAACTTTACAGGAGAATGTCGTCTTCACCCTTTTGTTTTCTTGGCTCTCATGACTGAACATAACCTGGCATAATGGAGAAGAAGCAGAAATTCTCCAACTCGTGTGAAAACCTCCCCAAATATGTTAATGAAATAAAAATCTCATCAATCTGGGCGGAATATTTTGCCAAATACATCTCTCGAAGAATTTCTGACTCTTAGCAATACATTCAACCTTAATGAAGAAAAGTGTAGTGATGCCGAAAGCAATGTACAATTCCAGTTATATACTTCTCTTAGAAAGATAAAGACCAATCCACAGGAAGAACTTCTCATTTACATCATTAAATAGTTACGCCCAAGTCATGTCTTCATATTGCCCTCGGGTCATTGTGAGGAACATCAGAACCACTTTATTTCATACTAGCGAGTTTGTTTGCCCGAAGGGCAAACAAACTCACTATGGTCGCGCCTTCAGCGCTCCATTCACTTAGAGTGTGATTAATTCATTAATTCTTTCTAAAATGGCAAACACGTATTTAAAATACCTCCCAATTGAAATACGTGACATATGGGGACGAAAGTCTTAATTTTTATCAAAATCATTACATATATTATTTTCGAGTGGCTAACTTGAAATCTTTTCATGTGTCCCTTTTTTGTAAGGTTGATGAATACATTTTGAAAAACTTCCGTCCTATAGTCTACGCTAAGGGGACATATTTCAAATGTAGGATTTTTCTTGTACTCAGCAATCGAACAGGTACTTCTGAGGAAAGTAGAAATTTTCTGACTTTATTTCATTGGATCAAAAAAAATTCTGGAATATGGGACTGAAGAAAATGTAGACTCAAGGAACTCCATGCAACACAGTTTCAGCTTTATACGTTTCCTCTTTTTCCTGGACTAAAAAAATGTATTTGGAAAAGGGACCCACCAAAACCTGCGCTCTGAGGAGACCCACAACATAAGCTGAATTT